TCCTTACTTGGTCACATTTAAAAACACATTGCCATTTTTCTTCTTCTTCACATTTTTGCACACATTAAAAAACACTGGGTCGCAAATATTTATTTTAATACAAGAAAGCATATAAACAAACGAGAAATCAGAATAATTTGAAATTAATATTAATATCAAATTAACCTCAACTATCAGTGACCGCCATTAACTGCGTAGTGGCGTGGTGCGTCTAATTGAGTCTAGTGCTTTGGAATGTAGATGGCAGCACAAAAAAAATATCATTTTGTTCTCAAAATTTGTTCTAAGTTGCACGCCCATGGTTACCACTTACCACAGGTTACCACATAGTGTTGGGCATAGATAAATAAATAAATAAATATGTAGCAAGATACCACAGATTACGGGTATATAGTTAGAGTGCGCGCAAGATAACTCTCGCGCGGCCAAAATTGGAACTAATCGTGTGCCGCCATCTTACTGTTTATGGCAAGTGTCTAAACAGAGTGGTAGGTGTCCTGTTTTTATTCTTTTTTGCAGTAATTAATCGTTATCATTAAGCCGAAAGTGATTAAAAGTGCTGGCAGGGATGTTATTTTGAAGGTCAAACGTGCTTGTGAAGAAGAACGAGACAATAAAGGGCCTATAGTACCGTTTTCCAAAGTTAGAGCCCGCGTTGCATATTTAACAGGTAATTTTTAGGGATGCCATTACAATAAAATTCCCCAATTTTCTCTATTTGTTCCTTTTTAATTTCCTCGTGTCATTAATATCATGTATTTATAATGCATTGTTTTTATTTTGTTTTAGGTGTTTCTGAACGCACCGTCACCCAGATAAGTCAAGAGGGTAATATAGCAGAAGCTTCATCTTCTAAAATTGTGACGCCGGGAAAAACTAGGAACCGAAGGAAAAAAATTTATGATTTAGACGATTTCGACATGTGCGCTATAAGGCATTTAATTCAATCATTTTACGTCGTGAAGAAGGAGATTCCTACCATAAATAAACTTTGGTTGGAATTGAAAACTGATATTGGTTTTAAATATGGTAGAACATCGTTGAGGAGTATTTAAAAGACTATGGGCTACAAATACAAAAGGTGCCAGTCTAAACGAAAAGTATTGGTAGAACGCAGTGATATTGCAGCTTGGAGAGCAAAATATATTCTGAGGTTGCGCAAGAATCGTCAGGAAGAAAATCGACCGGTAATTTATGTTGACGAAACGTATATACATGGTTCATACCACCTTCAAAAATGTTGGCAATCGAAGGAACAGCCTGGTATTCTTGCTTCTGATAGCGTCGGTGCAAGATGGATAATAGCCCATGGTGGAGGTAAAACTGGGTTTGTTGAAAACGGACTGCTGCTGTTCAGGGCTAACTCCAAATCGAATGACTATCATGACAATATGAATTCAGCCAACTTCATGCGGTGGATGAAAGAAAAAATTGTGCCGAATCTTCCAACGAATTGCATTGTAGTGATGGATAGTGCGTCATACCACTGCACACAGATCAACAAGGCGCCTACAATTGGCAATACAAAAGCATTACATTTGAAGACTGTTGGACAAAAGCGCAATTATACGAATTAATTAAAAAATACAAAGGGGACCCACAGTATGAAGTAGAAAAAATGTTAAATGAACATGGACATGAGGTTCTCCGTTTGCCGCCTTACCACTGCGATTTAAATCCCATAGAAAAAATTTGGGCAATAGTAAAGAGACGCATTGCAGAGAAAAATATCACTCAAGCTCCTAGCGAAATAGCTGCTATTACTGAGGCGGCGTTTAGAACAGTAACGACAGAAGAATGGTTCAACGTATGCCAACATGTAGAAAAAATAGAAGATAAATATTTCCAATCAGATAGGCTGATGGATATGAAAATGGATGAATTTGTAATTAATGTTACAGGTGACACATCCGAGTCATCTGATGAAGACTCTAGCATGGATTCTGATGAAGATATGGGAATGGAAGGCGTTGATCCACTGGAGGACCATTGTTACACCAAATTTATAAATAACCCCTTGTGTGGCAACCGGCCAGATTCTGGCCGATGGTTAATTACGCGCGTCTGGCAAGCGACCAGATTCTGGCCGATCCGTGACTGCGTATTTGGGGGGGTAAAATAACCAGCGACAATGATTTCTATCACATTTTTACTTATAGAAAATTATAAACCAAAGAAAGAGGATGCGATACAAAGCTACTAAAGTACTGCCATGTTTAGAAATTTCGAATAAACATCCTGTGTGGCAGTCGCATACGAACGTCGCTTTTATGTGGTCACCCGTCCCGGTTTTTGTCCTTATTTTTATTCGTAAATCGAACAAATAGTGAAATTTGGTGCTATTTAGAGATGGAAGGGTTAATAACCAACAGTTTTTAATTCATAATTTAGGGATATGTATCCTTTTTATAAAAAAAAAAATCGAAAATAAAGATAGCCTTACATTTATCTCTATTGTTGATTAAAAATACATTACATACCTTTTAGAAATGAAACTTTATCTAAATTAAGAACTTGAGCCATACTTAATGTTAAAATTATTGCACTCCACTTGACTTGCTCATTTCTCAAAATAAAACTAACAATATATGCTATTTTTTTGTGCAACGCTTGGGTTGCCGTTAATGTATTAAGATTGTAAAAAACTTTTGGGGTAAAAATATATAGGAATGTGTGGGTTTTTTGCTTTTTTATTATAAATTAGTGTATATTGATTAAAATAAATTACATTTATTATATAAAAGAATGATTTTTTTGTTTAATTTTCACAAATTATGCACAAAATACTATTAAAAATTTGGTTTTCCAACTTTAAAATTGGCTTAATAAAATCTATTAAGTTGTATTCAAGTAAGATATCTACAGAGTAATAGCAAATAATATAACAATTCATATGACATAAGTTTTATACATAGCTTCCATACAATATTTTAGAGAAATTACTAATTTAATCGCCACGCGCCGATATCGCGAAATTACCTCCTAAGGCCCTAGCAGACGCGACATATTTGCAAAATGACCGGCCGGCAGACGAGGGGTTATTAATAGGTATTCAATAAAAGATTTACAAGGTTTCCTTGGACTTTTTATTTCGTTCTTTATAATAAATATTATAATGCTATTTCAGTTGTTTCAAAATACCTTTTTGGAAAAATTTATTATAGACAAAATATCAGTAGTCATTAATCTTAGTATTAGTCCTTTTTATACACGCATATAATAGGTACCTGTAATTGTGTAAAAAAAATTGTAGTGGCGTAGTTAAACTTGTGTAGTGAGGTATCAAACTTATGAAAGTTAGAATCAAGAAATATATTTATTACGCGGATCTTAAACAATAAATATGGGGTTTAAAAAATTATTAGGTCTTTGTAAGTTTAGGCTGAACATTACAGTTTTTTTAATTGAGATTTGGTAATCAATTAGGTAATTTATGTAATTTGATATAATTATACAATTCCAGTAATAAGATTAAACGAAGGAAAAAATATTAGTTAAGCTGGCAACATTAAGCACGCCATCAGTCGCGCGCAGAGTTATCTTGCGCGCACTATAGTAATCTATGGATTACTGACTATATATATGTACATGGTTACAAAAAGGACAAAAAGAGAAAGACAGCAAAGAGCAAAGACTTCTGTATATATTACTTTACTCTATGAGAAAGACACTCACAAACAGTGTTGCCAGATGCCTTGAACCTTTTCTCTGTATTAGAAACCGCTAAAATCTGTATTAAATCTGTATGCTATTTAAACTTAAAGTCTGTATAATATAATAAACCAAAATAGAATAATTGATCATCATCATCATTGCTTCTTTTGAAAAACAAGGAATAACTACTAACGTGATAAGCTGATAAAGTTTGATTATCATTATTAAATTTTTTTATAGAATAAGGGTGACAAACGAGAACACAGTACACCGATGGTAAGTGGATGCTGTGGCCCATAGACATCTACATTATTACATCATCAAATAGAAACATAACATTTAATGCACCTAAATTAAGTTGATAATAATATTAATGTAACTTTGGTTACTAATGTAATGTATTGTAACGTGTTAATTAGAATAATGTGTCGACAGCAATAGTGTACGGAAAAACTCTAATGAGTTTATGTTTACACTATAACTATTCATCTTTGTAATCATAAATTTCTTAAATAAATAATAAGTTTATCCTTGCTAAAGAATCAAAACGCAGATGCGTTGTCACGCCTGAGAACTAAGACGGAACGCCTCTTTTCCAGTAAAAAAGGGTCTCCGGATTTCTACACTCATCATACGAAGCACAGTAGTATTAAGCTGGTACTTTACGCCGGTATTCTGTGAGAGCGTGGTCCTTCCCCGTTCGAGCTAAGTCATTCGTGCTCCAACCATAATATATCCGCAGCGTGGCTCTACCAAGTATAAAATATACAATATACACAAAAAAAATTATATAGCAAAATGTAACACATTAATTTAAGCAAACAACGTATTAAAACTCAAACATTTGCAACAAACGCACATATAATTAATTTATTATTTTCAGTCGTACATATTTTAAATATACATATTATATAATACACTTGTAAGTCTGCCGTATTAACTAATTACGTTGTGAAAAAATAAATTAACCATAAAGAATAGAATCATGCAATGATGTGTGTAACGCGGTATCTATGATGAAATATTATTATAGTCACTTAATTTTGCTTAGTTCTGTTTTAAGTTGAATATTATCGTAAACCAATCAATAGAGTTAGAAAACTCTGTATAAAAATCTGTATCCAGTGCTAATCTGTATCACACACCGAAAATCTGTATAAAGACGGGGGAAATCTGTATATATGGCAACACTGCTCACAAACACCCCACAAAGCTTCTGGCGGGAAGTCAAGCTAAGCGGGTGTTTTAATTCTTGCTGAATTTTCATTTCATTTTATTTCGCATATATTTTGTGAATTTCCGTGTAAATAGTTAATTAGTACATACCTATATATATTGTAAATACAATGGATCCAGATTCCGACGGGGGCCCGACCCCCGCCGAGCAAAAATCAAAGAAAAGGAAATTGCTCGATACTTGCAAAGGAAATGCCGTCGACTACAAAATTTTCTCAAAAACAATTTACACGCGACAATTCCCAGAAAACCACAGCGTAGACTGCGTAGTCTACGTTGAATCACAAGAAAACGAAAAAATTGGTAACAAAAATCCAATAGCACTTACAAAGTTATTTACGGAAAATGTGAAAGGAATCGCTGGCGTCCACAGAGTGAACGCATATAAAGTGGGCAACATTCAGAAAACCAGCACCGGCCAATAACTTCCTTACCATGACACACTTTCTGGGAAAACACAAATTAAAAGCGTTCGTGCCTCGAAACTGGACCTCACTGAAATTACTGGAGTCATAAGATACGTACCTAAAGACTTAAGCAATGAAGACATATACAAAAGCATTACCTGCGATGCAGAAGTCATCTCCGTCAAGAGATTTATGCGAAAGGTAGATGGAAAGCTCACTCCGCTGGGGACCATTGCAGTGACCTTCGCTGCGACAGCGCTGCCGCAGCACATACAGATGTTCAGATACCCGGTCCACATATACATCCCTCCACTACTACATTGTTACAAATGCCTGAAGTTTAATCACTCTGCGAAAGTCTGCCGAGGTTCTCAAATGTGTTCTTCGTGCTCCGGACAACACTCCTACAAAGAATGCGACGTCGAAAAAATTGTGTGCATCAACTGTCAAGGTGGTCACTTGGCCATCTCTAGGGACTGTCCAGTGAAGCAACAAAAGATGGAAGAGAAGAAGAATAAGTATTTAAAACCAAACCGATCATATGCCGCTGTGGTGAGTATCCCAGCAATGCCCGACCCGAGAGCATTCCCAAACCTTAAACCTGTAAAGACTGTTGATACTGACATAAATAAAGTACCATATAATGCTGAGCAAATACTAAACAACGAGTTAATTGTTAATGCGCTAGTCAAATCATTAGTTATGCTTGGCAATGACAAGAGCAGCGCTCTGATTACAAATAAAAGAATTAAAGATATACTTTTAAGTAATTTAATACCATAATGGATACATATTTAAATATAGCACAATATAACATACAGAGCTTACAGAACAAAAAGGCCTTACTTAAAAAATTTCTTTCGGAACAACATATAGATATCTGTCTCTTAAATGAAACCTGGCTAAAAACAACTAGTACAATTCCTGATTTTTCACCCTATAATTTTATACACAAAAACTCAATAAATGAACATAATGGAGTAGGTATATTAATTAAACAAAACTTAAAATACACTATTGTAAGTACAACTTTTTTCGAATCTGTGCAAAATATTTGCATTTCCGTAGACACAACTATGGGTAAGTTACATATTCTATGTGTATATTGTCCTCCCAATAGCAGCAGATTTACTACCAGCAAAATGAAAAAGGTGCTACTTGAAACTCCTAAGCCATGTCTTATTATGGGAGATTTTAATGCTCATCATATCCTGTTTGGTTGTCAGACAAATAATAATAGAGGTAACAGTCTATATGCACTTATTGATGACTTTGACTTGTGTATTCTGAATGATGGTGACACAGCAACAACTGTCCAGTATCCTAATAGAAATCCGTCGGCAATAGATTTAGCTCTGGTTAGTTCCGCGTTAACTCCTCTTTGTGAATGGCACGTTCATGACGACCCGATGGGCAGCTACCACTACCCAACTGTGGTCGCTCTAAATGTGAAGCCTTCTATATATGAAGTGCGTCCTGTGGAAGAAAAATACATTTATAATAAAGCAGATTGGTCTAAATATCAAGAACTATCAGAAACAAGATTTTGTAATTTAGAAATACATGGTACAGAACCTATTGATTTGTATAATAATTTTGTAAATATTTTGTATGATATTAGAGCAGAGACTGTTCCAAAGCAAACACCACAACAAACTTTAAGGGTAATGAGAAAACCTGCACCCTGGTGGAACCAAACATGTGATGATGCTGTTCGACAGTCTAAGGAGGCCCTCAAAGAGTATAGAAAATCGCCTAGTATTCCTAATTTCGTTAACTACAAAAAACTTGATGCTCAAAAGAAAAGGATATTAAAAGAAGAAAGTATTAATTCATGGCACAATTTATGTACTAGTTTTAATAGAATGACACCTATTTCTCGAATATGGAACTACATGAAAAGGTTTAGAAGGATAGGTTCTTCTCATAACAGATATTTGGATGACGATTGGATACCAAGCTTCTTGGACAACATAGCAGACTCATCACAGTTGAATGAAGATTATTTGAATGATATTTTAGATCAATCTGTTGAAAATGAAAGTAACTCGTTTCTCAATAGACCATTCACACTAAACGAATTGTACATAGCACTCAAAAGTAGGAAAGATACAACACCAGGGTTGGACAGCATACCGTATATGTTAATAAAAAAATTACATCCTAATGAACAAGAAATGTTATTAAATATTTATAATAAACTTTGGAATAATTTAGCTATACCAGAGTCATGGAAAACCCAATGTGTAATCCCCATTTTAAAGCCAAATAAAGCTGCTAATGATCCATCATCATACAGACCTATTTCTTTGTCATCATGTTTAGGTAAGCTTTTTGAAAACATGTTAAAGTTGCGTCTAGATTATTTTGTTGAAACACAGGATAAACTACCTCACATACAATTTGGATTCAGAAAAGGCAGAAGTTGCTCTGAAAGCTTTGTATCTCTGATATCGGAACTTAAAAAGGCCAAACTTAGCCATTCTAATGTTATATGTGTATTTTTAGATGTCAAAGGTGCCTTTGACAATGTTAATATTGAATGCCTCATAAAAGTTTTGCATGAATTGGGCTTGCCAAGAAATGTATTAATCTGGATTTTAAATTTCTTGCATGATAGGACTCTTTTTGTTAAATTTAACAATAAACTACATGGACCTAGGTCTGTTAACAAAGGAACAATGCAGGGAGCGACACTTTCACCTTTGTTATATAATTTATACACATCTCAGATACTTAATTATGTAGATACATCACAAGTTAAAATATTACAGTTTGCAGACGACATACTTTTATACAGTGAAAACCAGAATATAAATACAGCAATTAATAGAATTAATACTGCATTGGCACAATTGCATCATTATTATAGCAACATTTTAAAATTAGAAATAAGTTCTGAGAAAAGTAAAGTTTTAGTATTCAGTAAAGACACATTTGTAAACTCTGGAATTAAAATTAACTATAATAATGATGCAATTCCTATAGCCAATCATCATAAATTTTTAGGAGTAGTGCTAGATGAGAAACCGAAATTTGATAAGCATATCAACTATATCTGTCAGAATGCCATGAAGAGCATAAATGTACTAAGAAGCTTAGCAGGAACTTTTTGGGGGTCTGATCCAAAAACACTTAGCATGCTGTATAAAAGTATTGTAAGGAGTCATATTGACTATAGCTCTCTAGCTTACATGAATATTAGTAGCACATTGTTAAGAAAATTGGATGTGATACAGAATATGGGTCTGAGAATAATCAGTGGAGCCATGCGCACCACTCCTATTGTTTCTATGGAAGTTGAAAATTGCATACCTCCATTGTCCTTGCGGCGTTTGCAGTTGGCTGAAAGATTCTGTTTGAAGGAGTTGTCGTGTAGCAATGATATTGTCCTGAGTAATGTTTTATATCCTGCAGAAGTCTCCCAGTTAATTGGAACAGCCGACATCTCAGCTAATACTCTTATTTCGGGTACATTGCCTGAAATAACAACAATAACAACTTGTGTAAAAAATCAGACAAGAGATATGTACATCAGTAACAAGTGGCCTGTTTACAAATGCCCATATGATACATTACTTAATTATCTTGATATAAAATGTCATTTAGATTTGGTTAGTACTAAGTATGAATTCTTAGAATTTTTAAATGAAAAGAAAGACTTCTACACTATATATACTGATGGCTCCAAGAGTGATCTTGTTAAAGCAGCATTTTATGACCCACAAATGAAAGTTATTAAATGTATAAAGTTGCCAAGTAATTGTAGTATTTTTACAGCAGAAAGTTGGGCTATATTAGCTGCTTTGTCATATGTAAATACCAATGTAAATAGTGTAAATATCTTAATAGTTAGTGATTCTAAAAGTGTTTTATCTGCTTTATGTAACTGTAATTTAGTATATAAACAGAATTATATTTTGTATAAAATTAAGGATAAGCTGCAAACGATTGGAAAATGTATAGAATTCTTATGGGTTCCCTCACACAGTGGCATAGTCGGAAACGAGATAGTGGATCAGGCGACGCGGCAAGATCACCACGAAGACCAAACACAAGATTGTAAAGTCCCCTTCACAGATTATTATCAACACTTTAAAATCTTGTCAAAGAAACTGTGGAAGGATTACTGGAACATTACTACGGTGAATAAGGGAAAATGGTACGCAGAATTACAGCCAGACTTACCAACGATTCCGTGGTACAACCGCTTTAAATACACAGGCCGAAAGTTCATAACGAATCATTAACCGCTTGCGGTTTGGCCATTGCCTCGTCCCTGCACATCTATACAGAATGAAGATCGTAGCTGATGACAAATGCACACATTGCGCTCAACAAAATGCAGACATAAACCACATAATTTTCCAGTGCCCATCGTTTGGGATTCAAAGGTTGACACTTGTCAGTGAAATTAGTGATGTCGCTGAAGAAAATTCTATAAGTGTTCCCCGCCGCGTTCAGGATCTATTAACTGATGTAGTTTTTTTCATGCCTCTATTTAAATTTATACTTAATACTGTAAGAAAACTTTAATTATTTATGTGTCCTTAGTTAATTGATAATGTTTGTAAATAGCTTCATAGTTCATTTTGTAATTTAGTCTGTTCTATATTTATATAATAGGAAAAAAAGTAGAAAAACGATGGAAAACCATTCTAAATGTTTTCGATTGAAGGTCCTCGCAACCATGGTCACGAATAAATTAAAAAAAAAAACACCCCACAAACCATAGAGTAAAGTATTAAAGTAATATAATATCCACAAACTAAAAAGAGTACTAAATGAGTACTAACGTACACCCGAAGCGTAGACAGAGAATCCTATAGACTCCGCCATAGCATGTCGCAGAAAGGGACAAAAGAAAAACTAAAAGAAACTATTGTGTAATGAATGAGAGCTTAGTGGGCTGTATTTATGTAGGTTGTGTTTTAATATTGAAGAAAGAAGATACTGAACTAACTGTTACCAGCCCTCTGTCACTCTTGCTACCTGCGTGAAATAATTACCTACAATCGCTAGGCACCCAGGGTAAGATACGCAGTCGGGGCTAGCGCGTTGTAGGCGATTGAATGTTTGTTTTGAGTTTTTTAACGTAACATAAACACTCACGCCTGTCACCCAGAGGGGTAGGCAGAGACTACGGACTTCCATTTGACACGATCCTTACATACCTCTTTCGCCTCCTTTACATCCATATATCTACGCATACATGCTCGTCGTTTAAGGGTACTTCTAACGTGGCCCATTTTCAAAATATCGCCAATTTGGTCGATAAACTTTTTTTTAACGGTGTTTACGTAATTAGTTTTTTTTGTAAATACTTGTTGAAATAGTCTTTGTTTAGTGTTATTTATATTATTTTACCTATTTGATAATTTTTAATGGAAAAACGTCACTCCTACTATAATTCTTGCGTGGATGGATGCCAAATGCCCAAAAAAAGGTTTCAGATATATCATTCTTTAAAATTACCGAAGGATTTTAGAAGCAAGTTATGAAAGGTGAATTTATTTCTTTTTTTTTTTGTTAGATAGGTACTGATAGTAAAAAAGAATTAAGTAATAACACAGTCTATAAATCCATACAGTCGTCCGACTAAGACGTCTAGACGGGGCAATCGTGCGGGGTGTGTGGGGTGAGACGCGGGAATGACGAGCCCGATCTGCTTATGCCAATCGTATTAGTAGCTCGGGACACGACTTCCAGGGTTAGCGCGCGCTTGCTTTTATTATTTTTAAATGTTATCATCCATTTTTATATCCAAGATGGCGGACATTTTT